TAATATCAATTGTATTGACCTCAAAGTCAGAGTGGCTGGGCTATGATAATTTACCTATACCTTCAACCTTCATAGCCTAGCGCAATCGTAGCATTATATGCGTGTAGAATGTTACGTTAATATATATGATGCGTGTGTGGAATGTTACGTTAATATATATGCGTGTGGAATTGGTCGAGTAGATAAAGACAATATATTCAACACAGGAAGCACGCGAACAAGGGGACGCAAGTGGAAACTGAGTGCCCAAATGAGCCACAGGGACGTTAGAATGAACTTTTTTAGTGTCAAGAGTAGATAACAAATGGAATGCATTAGACAGTGATGCGGTGGAAGCTGACGCTATACACAGTTTCAAATGTAGATATGACAGAGCCCAATAGGCTCAGGAATCTGTACACCAGGTGATTGTCGGCTGAGAGGCGGGAGGGACGAAAAGAGCCGAAACTCAACCGCCGCAATCACAATTAGATGAGTAGGTGAACACACACACAGCCGACGGTGAGAAAGGCGGAGTCCAAGAGCTAACAACTCGATCCTGCACACACACACACACCAAAGGATACACGCTGGCGGGACCAAAGAGCTAGAGCTCAAACCGCAAGCACAACTAGGTATGAACAACTAGGTGAGTACACTCAGCAGCGGACCGAACAAAGTTCAACTAATATATTTTAATTTTAACGAGTTCTATAACAATATACTTTATTAATTTTATGAATCGTATTTTAAAATTCAATTCCCAGACGGCTACCAGTCCATCCACGTATTGGTTTTTACAATAACATATACTGGTAATCATTGAAGTGTCGCTTAATATAATCAGTTTAGAGAATGATTGTCCTCGCAAAGGCCGTTTTGCGCGGCTAATCTCTATACCAACAGAAAACGTCGTACCGTTGGAAGAGGAACGAGCTTTTTTTGTATTATGATTAACAAGGTTAAGTCCACAGCAGTGTGCTGCTACCCTAGTCTATATGAAGGATTACAGAATATGGGTAAAAAAACATCAATAAATCCATCAAAATCCCCATCGCACGAACCACATCAATGTAAAATCACGCTAGCGTAAAATTTGGCGGGAAAGCCTAATAATTATTTGGTTGGGCAACGATGAAGCAATTTTTTGGCGGTAAAACTTAAACCACGACAAAGGTTGGGAGATATGTTTGGAATTCGCTAATGCCGTAGCTAGTTTCCGGTCTGATTACGAAGGTCAGAGAATTATGTAACGTGAGTATTTTGAAACTGCGGGAAATTTTTAAAATATATTAAAATTATATATAAATTTTATATATAAAATCTCTCTCTCTCTCTCTCTCTCTCTCTCTCTCTCTCTCTGTCTCTCTCTCTCTCTCTCTCTCTCTCTCTCTCTCTCTCTCTCTCTCTCTCTCTCTCTCTCTCTCTCTATCTATATCTCTCTCTCTCTCTCTCTCTCTCTCTATATCTATATCTATCTCTATATCTCTCTCTCTCTCTCTCTCTCTATATATATATATATATATATATATATATATGTATAAATAATAAAGGTCTTGTAACTGGCTCTTAAGAAAAAATGGCGGGAAAATTTCCAAGGTTGACCACTTGGTCCACGTGCAAGAGCCCGGCCCTACCCTGCCCTCCCCTGACAACCTAACACCCACTTATCCAGTCCCTCCTATCCCCCACTCTCTCCCTGCCCTCCTCTCCCCCCACTCTCTCTCCCTGCCCTCCTCTCCCCCCACTCTCACTCCCTGCCCTCCTATCCCCCACTCTCTCCCTGCCCTCCTATCTCCCACTCTCACTCTAGCCTTGCCTCTCGCCGGCCAGTAGAGCAGGTCAGGTATTAAGGTGACTTAAAGAGTATTTCCTTCGTCCGGTTAAAAAAGTAATATAGGAATATTCGGATACTTAAATTATGTAGCCTCGTTGCGTTTGAGGACACATTGACGTACACATACACACATATTTACACAATATGGGTGATATTGTCCTGCTAAAAGCGGGAGTTTATGTGATAAGTTGCTGACCCTGTTGAAGCCACAAGGGTCAAATATACACACACGCAATACTTGTGTACAAAATACACAAGTATTCTTTCTCTTGTATTTCAAAAGGTTAAATATCATTTGTCTTCATATATCTCTATTTATTATTGAGATGTTTTTTCTACTTTATTTATTTTGTGGGAATTAGTGGGTTTAGAGTTGATTAATCTCTATGTAAGACTTTAGTTGTATCGGTGATAGAGGTTCAGTTTGTAGGGGATTCTTAGCTATTTAAGAACGATCTATTGCACAACGTCAATAGATTGAGTTTGACCTCATCTTGTTCCACCTCCATAGATTTTGACCTCAAAGAATGTAACTATTTATCTTCCAAGGACAATTTCAATCATTTTCTTCTCGGTTGCTTGTAGTTCATCTTCAGTCATGAAACGATCAGTAAAGTTATTGTTTACTTAGCTTTTCATGGAGCTTATTGCGCACGATAATATATTTATCAAAAGCTGTGCTTTGATTCTCAGTATATATAAACTGAAAGTTCGTTATTGATGGCCTATGTTGATACCTAAAGTATTCTTGCTTCAGGCCTAGAGTATTCTTGCTTCAGGCCTAGAGTATTCTTGCTTCAGGCCTAGAGTATTCTTGCTTCAGGCCTAGAGTATTCTTGCTTCAGGCCTAGAGTATTCATGCTGGTTGGTTAGCAAGGAATTTTGATGGCCTTAATAAGCCTCCAGAGGCTGATAGGACTTAAGCCCAACCTCAAATCAGGCCACATTACCCATTATGAGGGTGAGTAAAGAATAGGTTATAATCTCATAATGGGTTCTTGTCCTGGATGATGATTGCTAATTTTGGATGTGGGTGTGTACTCACCTATTGGCCTGCAGGATCGAGCTCTAGCTCGCTGACCCCGCTTTTCTAGGCGTGGGTTGTTTATTAATGCAATGACCTCTTGTCTATTTCTCTATCATACCTGTTTTTAAAGTTATGAATGGAGTTTGCCTCTACAACATTGATGTGTGTGTGTGTGTGTGTGTGTGTGTGTGTGTGTGTGTGTGTGTGTGTGTGTGTGTGTGTGTGTGTGTGTGTGTGTGTGTGTGTGTGTGTGTGTGTGTGTGTGTGTGTACTCACCTAGTGGGTTTGCGGTGGTTGTGTTTGTGTGTGTGTGTGTGTGTGTGTGTGTGTGTGTGTGTGTGTGTGTGTGTGTGTGTGTGTGTGTGTGTGTGTGCGTGTGTGTGTGTGTGTGTGTGTGTGTGTGTGTGTGTGTGTGTGTGTGTGTGTGTGTGTGTGTGTGTGTGTGTGTGTGTGTGTGTGTGTGTGTGTGTGTGTGTGTGTGTGTGTGTGTGTGTGTGTGTGTGTGTGTGTGTATGTGTGTGTGTGTGTGTGTGTGTGTGTGTGCGCGTGTTCGTGCGTGCGCGCGTGTGTGCGTGTTCAACCATATACACCAGCAGAATCCATCAACCAACGGTCACGACCACCAATATACGAGCGGTTGATACATAAAAAATTAAATTTCCCGAGAACGTTGTCAAATCCGCGGTGTTGCCAGCGTGAAACGTTTTCTTATATATTTCACTTTAACCCATAAGCTCATAACTGTCAGCCATGTATTGTGGCTGTGTGTATCATACAACTCCACCAAATACAGTAACCCAGGTATAAATCTAACCCAATACAATATATAGAATGTTCTATACGAGCCAGTCAATATATCACTCGACTAACAGCTGATTCCTTGTGCCAGAAAGCCATTGTTTAGTCAATTTTCATGTTGGGGGGAATGATTAACTTTGAATAATTGATATATTACACCAGCTAGTCCAGAAATGACACAAATCATGTCAATCTGTGTTGTAACACTCAACAGTGTCGTATGTGGCAGCTCAATATATATATGCTTCTCTACAGTTTGTTTATTTTGAATCATTTTTTGTATTTATTCATAAATTATTTTGCATATATTTATTCATAGAATACTAAGATAAAGATAATAATTAATTTACATTATTTCCTAGTTTTCTTGGTCATTGCTGCTGGTAGGCCTACAATTCGTATATAATTTGTCAATATAATTTTATATGTAATTTATGCTATATATATATACATATATATATATATATATATATATATATATATATATATATATATATATATATATATATATATATATCGGAACAACTCTATATTATTAGCTTTCACTCAACTTCTTTTGTATTCTATATTGGCAAAAATATTATGCTATGAAATCGATAATTCTGAATTAGGCCTACTAAACGAAGCTTTGAGTGAATTAGTGAATGGTAAAGTAAGCGCGTAATTAGCAGTAATTATGGAGAGAGACGTAGTAGCAAGAGTAGTAGCCGAGGTGAGTTATCAATTACCTCATAATACTAATTTAATATCACATATTCGCGCCACATATCATAATTATGTATATACAGTTAGTTGCATGTGCATCACTGAGAAATATAACGAATATGTTTTATTTTATGTAATAGGGAGCATGTGGGTGATAAAATAATAATTGATAATTTGGTACCCGGCATCAACTGTGTTAGGGCCGTACCAACCCGCCAAGGAGCTGATATTGAAATTTTGGCGCCAATTTTCAAACCCCTGACCGTACGTATCACAAGACTGTTTTCCCGCGCAAAAAAATGCCACATTTGGATCACCTACAGACATCTCGATTAATGTCTTTGTGTGTGTATATATGAAGCAATTTTGTTGTTATGGATAATCTTTCTTTGCTGAGACGCGCGGAGCATTAGCGTAAGCTGGATGCTTATAGCAGTTGTCGATCGGGTGTTTTATTCCATATATTTAGGGTGTTACGGACTATATTATTATATAATAATAACCACCTGGATGTAACAGGATATATAAATCATCATGAAATGTTTGTAAGTCGAGAAATGCATTTGTTATGGCGTACAGTCAAGAAAAAGTGAGGAAATAAAATCGTGAGTTGGGCATCGATTAGGCGGGGTTTGGCGCTCCATAACAACTGGCAGGAGTCGGTTAGTTAGGACGGAGCGGCTGGAGGAGGCGAGGCGGGTGTCGAAGGCGGGTTCCTGCGACCGTTGGCTGCCTCGAGTACCCGCGCGCGCCTTTTGAAGGTTTGAAGTTAAATGTCCGCGGAGGGTGTTATCACCGAGCGTGTGTGACCGGCCGTAGTACACCCTCGCTCCTGACGCGGTGTGCACGCTCACCTGCTCCTCTCCTCACGCAGTGTGTGTGACGCCCTTCCTCGCATTTATTTCCTGACGTGGCTGTGGCCGTTCCTCGTGTGCTGACTGTAGCCGTTCCTCGTGTGCTGACTGTAGCCGTTCCTCGTGTGCTGACTGTAGCCGTTCCTCGTGTGCTGACTGTAGCCGTTCCTCGTGTGCTGACTGTGGCCGTTCATCGTGTTCTGCCTGGCCGTTCTTCGTGTTCTGACTGTGGCCGTTCTTCGTGTTCACGTAACGTGTTGAGGTCCGCCGTGTTCTGTGTAGCGTTCGTCGTGTTCTCTCCTGACGCGGTAAAGATCTTTTTTGGTGTTGAGGATGATAACGTACTCGCTGGACGACCCGTGCTCCCCGACCAAGGCGGCGGACATCAGGATGTTCTTCAAGAAGCCCTCCGCCAGGAGGGCCTTGTCCGAACTCGGCGTCAACGACTCCAAAGCCAACCTGAGGATGGCCGAGACGTTGTTCACCATCACCGCTGAACAGTTCATGAAGAAATGGAACTTCGACCCCATACGATGCCGGCCGCTGCCCTCCGGACGCTATCAATGGACACCGGCCAAAACGGCGACCAAGAAACAGCGTGTAACTGCTGCTGCTGCTGCTGCTGCTGCCCTTCGGGAGACGCCCCACGACCCACCTTCGACCTTCGACCATCGCTCGACCTCGGCCCCTGAAGATGCCGCCGACGGTAGTAGATTTCTCGGTCAGACGAACGACGAGTGTCGATTTTTGGGGGAAAATTTCGACTGCGACGCTTACGCTACAGCGCTGCCCACTGTTCACCAGCTGCCCACCACCTACGAGCTGCCCACCACCTACGAGCTGCCCACCGCCCACCAGCTGCCTCTCACCGCCCACCAGCTGCCTCTCACCCCACAAAAGAGCCACAAGAGGAGAGAGTCACACACGCCCAAAACTCTACAGTGTAAAATCACTGGTAAGTTCCTCTCCCGTTTGTTCTGTTAACCAATTAACTTCAACTTGCCGATTTCTTTTTTAATTACCTAAAATCCTGTTCCATATTTTGAAATGTCCCCCTTAATTTGTACGGTTAATAGCGATGTATTGATCTATTAGTTATTTATTTATATACAAGGAGCAATGGGTTGTAAATTGGTTATTACGTAGTATATATTCTTGCAAAGCCATTGATGCGCATAGCGTTTCTTTAATTAGTTTAGTATATTGTGACCCCATACCCGTCATGTTAGCAGTACTGGACCCCATACGCATCAGTTAGCGGTAGTGGACCCCATACCCATCCCGTGAGTATTGGTATGTGGTCTCCTACCATCCGCAGAATGGGTATGGGGCATACTACCAATCACAGAATGGGTATGAGGCATACTATCGCTTACCGAATGGGTATGGGGCATACTACCACTCACAGAATGGGGCATGCTACCACTCACAGAATGGGGCATGGGGCATGCTACCACTCACAGAATGGGGCATGCTACCACTCACAGAATGGGGCATGGGGCATGCTACCACTCACAGAATGGGGCATGCTACCACTCACAGAATGGGGCATGCTACCACTCACAAATGGGTATGCGACATAACACCACTCACAAAATGGGTATGAGATCTACCATGTACCACTCCCAGGATGCTTACGTGAGGGTGGTACATAGTAGATCTCATATTAACAATTATGTTAACTTATATTAACAATTATGTAATGCCCCATAAATAATTGTTAATCACAGGTCACAGTTATCGAGGGATAGATTTCTTAACGGTTAGAAAAATTAATGACAAATTAATTAATTTTACAAAATCCACATCAGGCAGTTCCCAAGTGAACTAATAATAAATACATCATATTGGTTCCGACGTGAGAAAAGGCTGCCAACATAACTTCATTTGCATAGCTATTCACATCACTATTGATTTACGAATGTTAATGCAGGGAATCTGACAGGACACGACTGTAAAATATTGATTTCGTGGGTGGCTGTCGGTGACGGGTTAATTAGCTGCAGGGTTATATTGACTTATATATAAAAGTACATTATTTGTTGTATATATTATATTTATACAATATTATATACAGTGTGGAGTATATTATATATAAATATATATAGTATATATTTTATATATAAAATATATTATAGTATATATATTATATACAAATATATATAGTATATATATTATTTATAAATATATATAGTATATATATTATATATAATATATTATGTATACAATATGTATTATATATATAGTATATATATATATTATATATACTGTATATATAATATATACAATATGTATTTTATATACTATATATATTATATAGTGTATAAATAAAATATATATATATATATAACGCTTCCTGTCTGCGACAAGGGGAATGATTACAATTATAAGTCCCGTAACAATATTTCAGCCAATTCCTGGCTAACGACCCTCACCTCTCACCTGGCGGGAGACTGTACTGTCTAGTGACGTCTAGGTGACAGATCTAGAGACCTCAGAGTACTAGTACTGTCTTCCCTTGCAGTACTTTCATCTCTGTTAAAGATATTCTTTCCTCGAAGCATGTTTTAACAAGACTGAGATGCCTGGGGTCGTGTTCGATTTCATGTTAAATGCAGCTTTAGGCTGCATTTGGGTAGTATCCAATACGAACGAGATTCTAAAAGTATATATTATGTTATTTGTAATTAATTGTGAGATTCCTGGTATCTATTTTGCATGTTTAGTTTCAAGTGCGTAAAGAGCTTTTAAGACGAAATTACTAAAACTCTTGCATGGTGGATTAATTATACAATCTATAATTTATGATATTTCTACTGTCTTATTCTGTCTATATTACAATTTCAAGTGCTTGAAAAGCTGAGTCACAGAAAATTATTAAATGTTTCAGTGTATAGTGTATGTATGTAGTGTATACATTTCAACCAATTGTAATGCAGCTAATTTTATTATCTGCATGTGGCGCTTAGCTAGCTGTGGAAACTGTAGTACCGTGCTGTCTTTAGTGTTTATTGTTTTATAATCTTTGCCAGTTGGTAGGTGGTAGTCGTATATTGCTCCCACCTGAGGGCTGGGGTTGTGGTAGGACCACTCCCAGGTGGTGTACAACTCCCACCTGAGGGCTGGTTGTGGTAGGACCACTCCCAGGTGGTGTACAGCTCCCACCTGTGGGCCGGTTGTGGTAGGACCACTCCCAGGTGGTGTACAACTCCCACCTGTGGGCCGGTTGTGGTAGGACCACTCCCAGGTGGTGTACAGCTCCCACCTGTGGGCTGGGGTTGTGGTAGGACCACTCCCAGGTGGTGTACAGCTCCCACCTGAGGGCTGGTTGTGGTAGGACCACTCCCAGGTGGTGTACAGCTCCCACCTGAGGGCTGGTTGTGGTAGGACCACTCCCAGGTGGTGTACAACTCCCACCTGAGGGCCGGTTGTGGTAGGACCACTCCCAGGTGGTGTACAGCTCCCACCTGTGGGCCGGTTGTGGTAGGACCACTCCCAGGTGGTGTACAACTCCCACCTGAGGGCCGGTTGTGGTAGGACCACTCCCAGGTGGTGTACAACTCCCACCTGAGGGCTGGTTGTGGTAGGACCACTCCCAGGTGGTGTACAACTCCCACCTGAGGGCTGGTTGTGGTAGGACCACTCCCAGGTGGTGTACAACTCCCACCTGAGGGCTGGTTGTGGTAGGACCACTCCCAGGTGGTGTACAGCTCCCACCTGAGGGCTGGGGTTGTGGTAGGACCACTCCCAGGTGGTGTACAGCTCCCACCTGAGGGCCAGTTGTGGTAGGACCACTCCCAGGTGGTGTACAGCTCCCACCTGAGGGCTGGGGTTGTGGTAGGACCACTCCCAGGTGGTGTACAGCTCCCACCTGAGGGCTGGTTGTGGTAGGACCACTCCCAGGTGGTGTACAGCTCCCACCTGAGGGCTGGTTGTGGTAGGACCACTCCCAGGTGGTGTACAGCTCCCACCTGAGGGCTGGGGTTGTGGTAGGACCACTCCCAGGTGGTGTACAACTCCCACCTGAGGGCCGGTTGTGGTAGGACCACTCCCAGGTGGTGTACAGCTCCCACCTGAGGGCTGGTTGTGGTAGGACCACTCCCAGGTGGTGTACAGCTCCCACCTGAGGGCTGGGGTTGTGGTAGGACCACTCCCAGGTGGTGTACAGCTCCCACCTGAGGGCTGGTTGTGGTAGGACCACTCCCAGGTGGTGTACAGCTCCCACCCGAGGGCTGGTTGTGGTAGGACAACTCCCAGGTGGCGTACAACTCCCACCTGAGGGCTGGTTGTGGTAGGACCACTCCCAGGTGGTGTACAACTCCCACCTGTGGGCCAGTTGTGGTAGGACCACTCCCAGGTGGTGTACAACTCCCACCTGTGGGCCGGTTGTGGTAGGACCACTCCCAGGTGGTGTACAACTCCCACCTGAGGGCTGGGGTTGTGGTAGGACCACTCCCAGGTGGTGTACAACTCCCACCTGAGGGCTGGGGTTGTGGTAGGACCACTCCCAGGTGGTGTACAGCCCCCACCTGTGGGCCGGTTGTGGTAGGACCACTTCCAGGTGGTGTACAGTTCCCACCTGAGGGCTGGGGTTGTGGTAGGACCACTCCCAGGTGGTGTATAGCTCTCACCTGAGGGCTGGTTGTGGTAGGACCACTCCCAGATGGTGTACAGCTCCCACCTGAGGGCTGGGGTTGTGGTAGGACCACTCCCAGGTGGTGTACAGCCCCCACCTGAGGGCTGGTTGTGGTAGGACCACATTCACTGAGGGACATAAGCCTACAACCACTATCATTTGTTGTAGACCTTCTCCCTGTCTCCACCTCTGTTCCAAGAGACGGAGAGATATCCTCTGTACACCCCGCTCTTTAGGTATTATATGCAAATATGTTACTCCAATATACCTATTTACACAATATATGCATTCAGTATATATATATATATATATACATATATATATATATATATATATATATATATATATATATATTATATATATATATATATATATATAATATGTATATATATATATATATATATATATATATATATATATATATATATATATATATATATATATACTGTATGCATATATTGTGTAAATTTATATATTATTTGTCTTATATGTCAAAATAGTTAGCATTATCGGAGTCTAACTGAGAACATTACATATTTACACGATTATATTAATATTTTTTGTATTTATTAATTTCGTATTAATGAACAAAATTACTAAGGTAATATTGTTAATTCAATTTTGTAGCTTATGTTAAACAAACTAGATCTGGTGATCTAATGCCAAACGTCAGCATTGAATAGCATTTTTAATAGTAACGATGTCATAATGTATTTCCAAAATATATTAATGGTATTTGATAGCAATTTCTCTACTAATCAAACAGTAAGAATATAACTTAAATCAATATTAACCGTGTTTATATAGGCAAACATGGTTACATTTAGTCGGTTTGGTGGTGGGATATTTGACCCATCAATCTCTGGAGGGTTATTGAGGCCCATCAACCTCTGGAGGGTTACTAAGGCCCATCAACCTCTGGAGGGTTATTAAGGCCCATCAACCTCTGGAGGGTTACTAAGGCCCATCAATCTCTGGAGGGTTATTAAGGCCCATCAACCTCTGGAGGGTTACTAAGGCCCATCAATCTCTGGAGGGTTATTAAGGCCCATCAACCTCTGGAGGGTTACTAAGGCCCATCAACCTCTGGAGGGTTATTAAGACCCATCAACCTCTGGAGGGTTATTAAAGCAACCGCAAAACAGTAACAGTGTCTTCATTAGTACAGTATGTGTAACTCCTGTCTTATAATTATACATTACTCTTATGTTCTTTGAATACACATTCTTGTGAATGAAGATTAATATTATTCTCTCAGAAATCACATTAACGTGATTTATATCAATGAGAAAATCCACTGGGATTTTATAAATACAGGT